CACAAACTGTTGCCTGTTGTTTGAGGATAAGCTGAGGTTTTCAGGGATAAACTAGCCATTTATTTCATATCATTTCAATAAAACAACACTTAATCAGGCGTCCTTTAAGAGACCAGAGCTTTCACAGTATGTTCCCAGATTTTGGAGGGCTTTCCTCTTTATTTTCAGGCTCATTCTACTAACATGCCACACAGCTGACAAGCATTCAGTGAAAGTGAACCTTAAAAACCCATAAGTCATTCAAGGGAGATGTAAAACATAAAGCCAATAAATTCTGGAGTCATGGGAGTAGGTCCTCCAGAATTAGGTTGCGTTTGGGTCCCTCTGATAGCTCCCTTGTTCTCAGACTCTTCCCCTGGTCCCTTGGTCCACATGCAGTCTGTCACACAGTGAGGTGGTGGCCCTTGTGATTAGGAATGGCCACCAAGACCTAGCACAGAAGATTAACTCAGCAGGCTACCTTATGACCCTTGGCCTACCTAGCCCAGCATTTCTGCTGCTGGTGGGCAGGGTTCTACAGGTTCCAGCACGAGCAGGGAGAGGCCAGGAGTCCATCCGGGGACATCCCACATGGTTGGCACATGACCCCACAGTAACTACAGCCTTTCCGCATTGCCTGTTGTCTCCTCACACTGACCATCTTCCTTTATGAATCACTTTTCCAGTCTAATGAAAAACTGTGACAGGCCAGTGCAGAAGCGCTGCCAGGATTCCCAGCATTTTGTCATGTCCATAAACAAGCTAAGTTTGAAAAGCTTAATTACCAGTTATCGTCGTTGACGGTTGTGATTCAAAACCTATCAGTGAACAAACATAAAGTGTTAGAAATGAACTGGAGACACAGCTGCTGCAGTATAAGGTGCATGACTTTTGCCTTATGTGTATAGACACTTCTTGTAGTACAGTGGTACCTTGGCTCACAAACTTAATCTGTTCCAGGACTCTGGTCATGACCCAAACTGGTCATGAGCCAAGTTAAATTTCCCCATAAGGTTCAGTGTAAACAAGGTTAATCCGTTCTGTAACCATTTTTTTTTAAATAAGAAAAATGTGAAGCAAATTGACAAAGAACAACAAAGATCGTGCCCATCTCCCCCCCCCCAGCACGATCGAGCATGCACCCGTCATCCCTGCATGCTGGTGGGGGGGGGACAGATGGGGGCGAACGGGGCACGCTGGGGGACGGAAAGACGGGTGCAAATGGGTCATGCTGGAGGAGGGAGAGACGAGTTCGATCTTGGCCACTTCCCCACTCCCCTGCCCGCAGCATGATGATGGCCATCTCCCCACCCGCCCGAGTGGGGAGATGTCTGCAATCGTGCTGGTTGAGGGGGTGGGGGAAATGGCCGAGGTTGTGCCCATATTTCCTGCAGGAGCGTGTGCCCATGTTCACGCACGTCTTCCCTGCACGAACGCAACTGCGATCATGGCCATCTCCCTACTCGGGCTGTGAGGGTAGGTGGCTGCCATCTCGGTCGCCACCCAATGCAGAGCTTGCAACCCTTGTCAAAATGTTCATGAAATTTTAGTTTGCCACCCGATTTGGTCTTGAACCAAGGCGTTCGTGAGCCAAAGTACCACTGTTCTTTGCTGAGGTTGAGAAAAACTTTGTCATGGATCCAATTAACACACTGGAATTGTGCAAATGGAGGCTCATTTATGCCAGATTTTTTCTATCTACCCTGGGTTGTCATGTTAATGAATCCAGGTGACTAATCCTATTTTGGGTGACAAGAAGCAGTAAATGAGATTCCAGATTCCAGGCACAAATGGCACCAAAAATGTTGCCAGTCAGGCCAAGGCACCTTTGCTACTGCCGGTGCATCACCCCACAAGTGCTGAGGCAGCATCTGGGCACAGGTGGCACTGCCACAGTGTCCCTGCCTCATCCCAACGTCCTTTCTGCAGGCAGTGATTTTTGCCTCTTCAACCGATTTCATTTCCAGGGACCGGAGTATGGCTTGGGAGCGGGGTTTTGCAAGCTGCCTTTCTCCAGTACGGGGAGCCCGTTGGAAGTGCTGGCCGAAGTAGCAAATCCATGGGCTGTGTGTGCTGGACAAATCATTTTTTCTCTAGCTGAACCCTCCCAGATGCTAAGGCTGAGGTCCTATTGATACAGTGGTCGAAAAAGACCCCGCGCTCACTGGGAGTGTTAGTAGCTCTAGAAACCTTTTCAGCCGGAGCAAGCATTGGGCCTGTATCAAAAAGAGGTGACTAAAATTATAGGAACAGAGAGCACTCGACACACATGCATCGTTTTCTGTACTCCAAAAATACTCCATGGACAGGACTAGCAGGCAATTTCAAAGCAGAATACCCAAACTGTTACCTGTTGTTTGAGGATAAGCTGAGGTTTTCAGGGGGGAAAAAGAAAGAAAATTGGTGATGATTTCAGCTTTAAACATCTCCAAATTATCTATCATAGAAAAGCATGCAGCACATTTCAATCTCTTGTAGTGTAGCACTGTGAAAATGACTGTATCCCAACAGAATGCCTAATGAATCATAAAACAATGCTGCCAACTTAGATTTGATTTCCTCTTTCATTCTGACAGTGAGGTAAGCCCATCCGCCAGGCAATTTCTGAAAATTTTAACGCAGGGCTGTGTGCTCTGGGCAGATCACTTTCCTCTCTGGTTAAATCCTCCCAGGTGCTACTGCTGCAGCCCTTTCAGTGTTTGGAAAGAAAAACTTCCTGCACTCCCTGAGCAGTGCTTGAACCTGGAGAAATCTGCCCAGTCCAAACAAGCAGTGGTTCTGTGTCAAACGGATGTGACTAACATCAGAGGAACAAACAGAGCAGTGAACACGCATGCATTGGTCTTTCCCTTCCGAATGTAAGACTTGAGCACAGGATGGGCAAGCAGCCTCAAAGAGGAATACGCAAAGTGTTACCTGATGTAGGAGGATAGGCTGTGGTTTCTATGGGGAAAAAAGGGAATGTTAGTGATGGTTTCAGCAAGAAAATAGGTGCAAGCTCCATGTCATAGATGAGCATATAACTCACGGCAATGTCTTCTGGTGTAGCCCCATAGAAATGACTGTATTCTACCAGAATGCCTAATGATTCAGAAAACATCAAAGCAACTTCGATTTGAATGCCTGTTTCATTGAGACCATGAGTGAAGCCCATCCAAATGCCAGTTTCAGCAAATTTAGCATATGTCCAATGGTAGATCAAATGGTGGAACCAAGGCATTTGGAGTTGCCCTTTTGGAGGTCATCTGTGGGAGGCGGCATACATAATTTAGCACCTTAACAAATTGATATTTTATAAAAATGCAATCTTGCCGCCATTTTGAATGGATCCTTTGGTAAAGGAAACAGCAGCTAGCACTGCCCCGCCACATTCATTCAGACTTTTTGTCTACAAAATATTACCTGTGGTTGTATGACTATATCGTGCAGTCCCTAAAAGAAAAAGAAAAAAGCATCCAATTGTCACCAGATTCTCTA